CTATTGATTCCTTTTAGAGTATTTTTTTTTTTTTTAGTGGTACGCGGGCCTCTCACTGCTGTGGCCTCTCCTGCTGCGGAGCACAGGCTCCGGACGTGCAGGCTCCGGGGCCATGGCTCACGGGCCCAGCCGCTCTGCAGCATGTGGGATCTTCCCGGACCGGGGCACGAACCCATGTCCTCTGCATCGGCAGGTGGACTCCCAACCACCACGCCACCAGGGAAGCCCCCCTTTTAGAGTATTTTTAATTTCATTTATTGTGTTGTTCATTATTGTTTGTTTGCTCTTTACTTCTTCTAGGTCCTTGTTAAACGTTTCTTGTATTTTCTCCATTCTATTTCCAAGATTTTGGATCATCTTTACTATCATTACTCTGAATTCTTTTTCAGGTACACCACCTATTTCCTCTTCCTTTGTTTGGTCTGGTGGATTTTTACTTCGGTCCTTCATCTGCTGCCTATTTCTCTGTCTTCTCATTTTGCTTAACTTACTGCATTTGGTGTCTCCTTTTCGCAGGCTGCAGTTTCGTAGTTCTTGTAGTTTTTGGCGTCTGCCCCCAGTGGGTAAGGTTGGTTCAGTGGCTCCTTGAGGCTTCCTTGTGAAGGGGACTGGTGCCTGTGTTCTGGTGGATGAGGCTGGATCTTGGCTTTCTGGTGGGCAGTACCATGTCCGGTGGTGTGTTTTGGGGTATTTGTGAACTTAGTATGATTTTAGGCAGCCTCTCTGCTAATGGGTAGGGTTGTGTTCATGTCTTGCTAGTTGTTTGGCATGGGGTGTCCAGCACTGGAGCTTGCTAGTCGTTGTGTGGAAGTGGGTCTTTGCGTTGAGATGGAGATCTCTGGGAGAGCTCTCGCCCATTGATATTATGTGGGGCCAGGAGATCATTATGTGGTGGGTCAATGTCCTGAACTTGGCTCTCCCACCTCAGAGGCTCAGTCCTGACACCTGGCTGGAGTACCAAGTGTCAGCCACATGGCTCAGAAGAAAAGGGAGGAAAAAAAAGCAAGCAATCAAGAAAAAAATAAATAAAATTAATAAAGTTATTAAAAGAAAAAATTATTAAAATTAAGAAGGTAATAAAAAAAGAAAGAGCAACCAAACCAATAAACAAATCCACCAATTATAACAAGCATTAAAAACTAAATTAAGATAATAATAAAAATCAGAAATTAGTCATTCACATACAGCAAACCCCAAGTGTACAGTTGCTCCTAAAGTCCACCACCTCAATTTTGGGATGATTCGTTGTCACTTCAGGTATTCCAGAGATGCAGGGTACATCTAGTTGATTATGGAGATTTAATCTGCTGCTCCTGAGGCTGCTGGGAGAGATTTCCCTTTCTCTTCTTTGTTTGCACAGCTCCTGGGGTTCAGCTTTGGATTTGGCCCCGCCTCCCCGTAGAGGTCGTCTGAGGGCGTCTTTTCTTCCCTCAGACAGGAGGGGGTTAAAGGAGTGGCTGATTAGGGGCCTCTGGCTCACTCAGGTTCGGGGGAGGGAGGGGTATGGAACAAGCGGCAGAGGCCGGCTTGACATTGTAACAGCGTGACGTTGTAACAGCGTGACATTGTAACTACTCTGGCAGTGGTGGGCTGCACAGGCTCCCGGGAGGGGAGGTGTGGATAGTGACCTGTGTTTGCACACAGGCTTCTTGGTGGTTGCAGTAGCAGCGTTAGCGTTTCATGCCCGTGTCAGGTGTCCACACTGATAGCTGTGGCTTGCGCCTTTCTCTGGAGCTTGTTTAGGTGGTGCTCTGCCCTCTGTGGGCAGGCAGGGAAGGGAATCCCCTCTTCTCCCGTACCCGGAAACAATGGTCTCTTGCTTCTTAGACAAGTGCAGCCTTTTTCCCGGACTCCCTCCTGGCTAGCCGTGGTGCACTAGCCCCCTTCAGGTTTTGTTCATGCAGCCAACCCCAGTCCTCTCCCTGAGATCTAAGCTCCGAATTCTGAGCCTTAGCTCTCAGCCCCCACGCGCCCCTGCAGGTGAGCAGACAAGCCTCTCGGGCTGGTGAGTGCCGGTCGGCACCGATCCTCTGTGCGGGAATCTCTCCGCTTTGCCCTCCGCACCCCTGTGGCTGCGCTCTCCACCGCGGCTCTGAAGCTCCCCACCCACCCCCCATCCCCACCAGTGAAGGGCCTTCCTAGTGTGTGGAAACTTTTCCTCCTTCACAGCTCCCTCCCACTGGTGCAGGTCCCATCCCTATTCTTTTGTCTCTGTTTATTCTTTTTTCTTTTGCCCTACCCAGGTGTGTGGGGATTTTCTTGCCTTTTGGGAAGTCTGAGGTCTTCTGCCAGCGTTCAGTAGGTGTTCTGTAGGAGTTTTCCACATGTAGATGTATTTTTGATGTATTTGTGGGGAGGAAGGTGATCTCCACTTCTTATTCCTCCACCATCTTGAAGGTCCTCCCCCAGTTATGTTTCTTTTTTTTTAAAGAAGATGTTGGGGGTAGGAGTTTGTTAATTAATTAATTTATTTTTGCTGTGTTGGGTCTCCGTTTCTGTGCGAGGGCTTTCTCTAGTGTGGCAAGCGGGGGCCACTCTTCATCGCAGTGCGCGGGCCTCTCACTATCGTGGTCTCTCTTGTTGCGGAGCACAGGCTCCAGACGCGCAGGCTCAGTAGTTGTGGCTTACGGGCCTAGTTGCTCCGCGGTATGTGGGATCCTCCTGGACCAGGGCTCGAACCCGTGTTCCCCGCATTGGCAGGCGGATTCTCAACCACTGCGCCACCAGGGAAGCCCCCAGTTATGTTGTTTTGATCCTCAGTTGCTTTCCTTAGATCTGTAGGTTCCCTTTGCTTCATTATCTCAATTTTGAGCTCTTGTTTTATTGATATCTTCTTATTAAGGTGTTCCATAGCTGGAAGCCATTATAAAGGGTGCCTTCTCTCTCTGTGTTATATTCTCTTCTAGGCTGATCTCTTTGTCTTCCTTCTGTAAGCCTTTTGTTTTTGTTGTTTTGTTGTTTGTTTATGTTGTGGTTTTATTATTTTGCTTCATGTTGCAGGTTGTATTCCTGGGCAAGGAGACTCTCAGGTACAGGGGAAGTATACTGGGCGGAGCTCTTGGGACCCACTCCCGTTGGGGAGTGAGGGAAGCAGGATTAGGTAGAGGGAGAAGCTGGGCTGTGCTTTATCACAACAAAGCCTGATCCCAGGCCCCCTGGAGCTGGAAGGGCTCTACAGAGTTGTCTTGAATTGGGGTGAAAGCCCCTGGCTTTTATACCCCTGCACAGACACACAGGCTTGGAACACAGGCTGCTCTCAGGGAGTGGGGGTGCTCTTGGCAAGGCAGCTTTCTTCAGCTGATGTTGCTCTTGAGCAACTGGGGAATGAGTGCTTCAGTCCAGAAGAGGGTGTCTGGGTGGCACATCTGGCATCCATTAGAGTTCATTTTATTCTCACAGTGGTGCTGTCCAGACAGTCATTCAGTTTTCTCTGATAAGGTAGGTTGGTTCTTTATTCTTTTCTTACCCTATCTGAAATAGGTATGTTTCCCTTTGACATACAGATTGAGGGCTGAGGTGTTGCTGTTGGTGGTGGTGGTGGTGGTTTTTTAGGTGATATTCCCCCTTTTTTAGTGGACCGAGAGAATGACTGGGAGCCAGTGAAGGGCTGGAAAATGAGTGAGGCCGGTGAAGTGATGTGCTGCCTTGTTAAGTATGGTATGAGCTAGGGGTTAAGATTCTGATTCCAGTTACCTAGGGCCATTTCCCTACTGCTTGCATGGTCATCTTTGTCATGAATCAGGTTTCCATAAAGCTATGTATCTGTCCCCATCTGTGTTCTCTTGCTTTGTCCTGTTAGACTATCATTGTGCAAATACCGCACTCTCTCATTTATTGTAACTTTAAAATGAATCCTGGGGACTTCCCTGGTGGTCCAGTGGTTAGGGCTCCGTGCTTCCACTGCAGGGCACAGATTCAGTCCCTGGTCGGGAAACTAGGATCCCTGCATGCAGTGTGGTGCAGCCAAAAAAAAAAAAAAAAAAAAAAAGAATCCTGGCATTCAGTAGAGTCATTCCTCCAACTTTGTTTTTCTTCAGGATTATCTTGGATCATGTTTGCTCTTTGCCTCTGCATTCAGTCTTAGGATCAGTTTGTCAGTTTCCACAAAATACCTGCTCGTGTTTTTACAGAGAGATTTGATTTGATAGGTCAGTTTGTGGATAATGGTTCACTGCAATATTGATTCTATTCCATGAAATTTATTTAGGGCTTCTTTAATTTTTTAAATATTGATTTATAGTTTTCTATGTAGAGGTATTTCTTGGAAATCTTTTATTAGATTTGTACCTGGGTATATTATTTTGAAGAAAGGAAAACTGTATAATGAATCTCCATGTAGCCATCATCCAGTTTCAACAACCTTGTTAAATTTATATCACTCCTCCTCTCAATCCCAACCTCTCCCCCAAGATTATTTTGAAGCAAATTAAAAATGTATTGTCATATGCATTTCAATATGAATTTCTGAAAGATAAGAGGGACTTTAAAAAAAAAACAAAAAACTACCACCCCAATATTATTTCATGCCTAAAAAAGTAAAAATAATTCCTTATTACCATAAAATACCCAGTTAGTGTTATTTGATGTTTTTTGGGTGCTATTGTAAATGAATACCTTTAAAATTTTATGTTCTTTGTGTTTTTATGATATACAGACATAGAAATGATTTTATTCGTGTGTTCATCTTGTATCCAGTAACCTTGCTAAAGTTATTTATTATTTCTAGTAATTTATCCCCAGGTTACTTTAGCTTTCTACATATACAATTGTGTTGTTTGTTAATAGGACAGTCTGCCTCAAGGGGCAATAGAAGTTTGCCAAGTTTAGCAATGATCAGTTTAAAAAATGGAAAAGAAATGAAAAGTGAACAAATTTGACAATTTCACTAAGACTGAAAAAAAAGTCTAAGACTTTTTAATAACTCCTATCATTATGTGTTGTATATTGTCTTCAACTTTTTTTATCAGTTGCTAATATTTGTTATTCTGTATTCTTTGTAGTTTCCCATCACCAATTGTTCTTGGAATTGGACAGGTAAGTGAAAAAAAAAATTACCCTCTTAATTAGTTGTCAGTACACATCATGAAATTTTAAGTGCTTTTGTTTAAGACTGTGATTTACAAATTTGTTCAGCTGGCAGAGGACCATGGTACTTTTGGTGAAACAACATGAAGTATTGACACACATCTTATTTCATTTTACAATTTAGGAACAGTTGTATTTGTAGGAAAAAACAACGAATTTTAACTTCCTTAATAGAATTTAATTACTCTAAAGCAAGGGGGCAGCAGACTGAAAGCCTCCAAGGTCTGCTGGGTAACAGATGAGTGTGCACAGTTTAAGCCACTGTGCCTGAGAAGAAAAAGGTTAGGGAGATGAGGTGAGGCCCACTAGGGATCAGGGAAATCTAATTTTTACATCAAACCCCCTAATTTGTAAATGGTGGCAACAGATTCATATTTTCATAAAGTTCTCTACAGGCCAAACAAAACATGTTTGTACTTTCCTTCCTGAAGTTTGTGATGTTTGTTCTCAAGTGTAAGGATAAACTTGGATAAACTTTCAAACTTACCCCATTTGGCTGTTTCTGAAATTTTCTGTTAATATTAATTTGTGGCTTTTTTACTTTTTTGGTCATATGCTGATGATTTCTAGTAGGCATGTGGTAACACAGGCACCAAAGTTTTTTTGTTTTTGTTTTCCTTTAGTCTATAAGGGGAAAAACTTAAAATTATAAAAATTGTATCTGTTAACTAAATTTTAAATTGTGAATCTGGAAGTTATATGATTAAACATTATTCTAGTTAAATGTTTTGCTGATAAGGTACTCTTTGCACATCATTTTAGGGAGAAAAAAATCATGAGGAAACAATATCTTTCCTTAAGGTCAAAAATTTATATCTTTATGGTTCAGTGTGAAAGTATGTTAAAAAGTACTTTAAAAGATCAATAATATGTGGTAATGTGCCCTTTGTAATGCCCAAGGCAAATAAATTCACTGGATTGTACTCAATTAAGGTAAAAACGTTTATGATTTGCAATTTGTGAGAGAAGAAGCCAGCAGACCAAATTTTAAAAGTCTGAATTGCAGAATATTTTAAACAAGTGTTGGTATATTTCTGTAAGAATTATAAAGTAAGTCATATATACAAACTACAGTTATAATTCAGGGTGGGCTTGTGTTATATAAATCTATTATAAGTATTAAGCTTGTACACTCAGGCTCAAGGTTTAGGATGATAATCATTTTGAAGGAGACCTTAAATTTTTGCATCCTAATGTGGAGAAAAGTAAGTTCTAAAATTTGTGTAGAAAGATGATATTAAAACTTTTTATTTTATAATAATAATCTGGAGTATTTCTGAAATACCTGGTATAATCCAGATTAATAGCATTTGAATGAGATGTTTTAGCAACACCGGCTAGATTGGAGAGAAAAATAAATCCCTTTTAAAGTTTGTTTTCCTCTTAATTTGACTTTTGTGTTATAGAAATATTATACTTTACAAAATATGTTTATGTGTGGAGTTTGCCTCCCTTCCCCCTTCCTTTCATCCCCACACTTACTCTCTGGGGTAAGGTGACCATATGCTCAGTACATAGGAAGGATGGTCCAGGATCAACAAGCAGCCTCACCGACTGTGGTCACTCTGGTCAGTTTTGGGGACACCGTTCCTTTTTCCCACTGTTGTCGTTCCTTGAGCCCCTTGAGATATCGTATATACGTTATATTTGATGTTATACTTTTTGCCTGTAGTTCTGGTGCAATCTATACGGTGGCGAGAAAAACAATTTTAATATTTCAAGGAATAATAGTTTTTTTGGAACGTAGAAAATGGACTTTTCAGATATATATATATATATTTGGTGAATCTCTTTTCTTTTGATGATGTGTTTGTACCTCAAATAGTCTTTCCAGATATTTTGCTGAAGTTTTTCTCTTCCCTTTTCTTTAGATGACAGTTACCATAATGATACTATATGTGTCCAAGCTAAATAAAGTAATTCACTTCCCTGATTTTGACAAGAAAATTCCTATTAAGGTATGTGATGGAAAGTACATATAGCTATGATGGAAGATGTAGAAATGCTATAGAATTACAAAGTGATTTTAAGAGTACAGGTCCGTTTCTATACACATGTGCTTCCTACTGGCAATGGGTAGAAACTTCTTAATAAAGATTTCATATCATTCAGTGGTCCACTCATGTAACATAATAATAGTAAAAGTATGTGCTTAGCAATGGATATTAAATAAATACTATGTGTCTTCTGAAATGGCAAAGCTTTCTAACAGGAATTGGCAAGCTGATCTGGTAAATGACCAGATAGGAAATAATTAGGCTTTGTGGGCCAGACCATCTCTGCTGCAGCTGTTCAGCTCTGTACCATGAAAGCAGCTGTAGATGATACATATATAAATGAATCGGTGTAGTTGTGTTCTAAATAAAACTTTATTTGCATAAATAAAAGGTGGGTTAGATTTATCTCTTGGGCCCTCCCAATTTGTTGATCTCTGTTTTAAATCTTCATTTTTAGCTTGGATTGATAACAGTTGTGAGTAGAATGATGAATAAACATATTTTGTTATACGTAGTTTTTTTTCCATGGTGGAACTAGAAACATGAGACCTGCCATTCCTTCCTGGGAATGTGGAATTGAACTAACTTTTTTTTTTTTTGTGGTACGCGGGCCTCTCACTGTTGTGGCCTCTCCCGTTGTGGAGTACAGGCTCCGGACGCACAGGCTCAGCGGCCATTGCTCACGGGCCCAGCCGCTCCACGGCTTGTGGGATCTTCCCGGACTGGGGCACGAACCTGTGTCCCCTGCATTGGCAGGTGGACTCTCAACCACTGTGCCACCAGCGAAGCCCCGGGACTAACTTTTCTTGTACAGTTGCTGGGTGACATGCATGAGGCCAGACATTTAATTCCTAGAGCAATCCCATATGACAGGTGGTATTAAATCGATCATGGTGACATTTTTTGGATTTAGGGAGGTTAAATCAGACTGCAGTTCCTTGAGAGTGAGGACCTCACATGGTTTGTTCACTGCCATGTCTCTCAGGCCTGGAAAAACACTGGCATCTAGCTCTGGATTATTCATCAGGTCGATTAAGCACATGCTTACTGCATCAATAATCAGGGACATCCACAAAAAGAGAAAAACAAAATATTGAAGTATAGGAAAGATATTAACCCAATCATCAAAAGAAAAATCAGAATATTGTTGGGCTTGCTTACACTTAGCTTATGATATAATTTTTAAATACTTTGAACAATTGGTCATGAGATGGGATCACAAAATCCTTCTTTACCCACTATTCTGACTTTTGTATTCATAATTTTCTTGCTTTCTTTGTCAGTTTTCTAAATTTGTATGTATCCTTGAATTATGTAGTTTAGGTTTGCCTATTTTTGGATGTTATATAAAGGGAATTAAACTCTATATATTCTTTTGTATCTTGCTTCTTTCACTTAATATTATGTTGGTAAGATTCATCCACATTGTTGTGTGTAGCCGTATTCTTTTATTTTCATTGTATAAATATATTACAATTTATTTATCTGTTTTACTGTTTATGGTAATTGGGGTTGTTTCTAGTTTGGGCCCTAGAAAAATAAAAAGTACTGTTCTGAACATACTGATAGCTGGATCTTGGTACACAAGTATTAGTCACCTAAGGCTCCCATAACAAAATACCACAGACTAGGTGGCTTAACAGAAATTTATTTTCTCACACTTCCGCAGTCTGGAAGTCCAAGATCAAGGTGCCAACAGGGTTGGTTTCTGATGAGAGTTCTCTCCTTGGCATATAGACAGCTGCCTTCTCACTGTGACCTCATGTGGCCTTTACTCTGTGCCTATGCACTCCTGGTGTCCCTTCCTCTTCTTATAAGGACACAAGTCCTATTGTATTAGGACCCCACATTTATTACCTCATTTAACCTTAATTACCTCCTTAAAGGCCCTATCTTCGCATGCAGTCACCTGGGGGCTAGGGGTTCAAAATGTGAAGTTTGAGCAGATACAATTCAGTCCAAAACAGCACAATGTGCATGAGTTTTTTGGGAAGCTTATCAAGAAGTGAAACTGCTGACTCCTAGGGTGAGCATATTGTCCACTTGAGTAGATAATGTCAAACTGTTCCCCCAAGTGGTTGTACCAGTTCCTACTCCTGACGAAAGTGCATGCAGGTCCCTATTGCTCCTCATTCTTGCCAATCCTTGGTATGCCAGTCATTTTAAATTGTGCTGATCTGGTGGGTGCATAATGACGTCTTCTTGGCTTTTATTTGCATTTCCCTGTTTATTAATGAGGCTGAGTGCCTTTTCATTTTTTAGTGCCCATTTGGATATCCTCTTTTGAGAAATACTTGTTCAAGACTTTTGCCCATTTTTCTGTTGGGTTGATGTCTTTTTCTTACTGATTTTTGTAGGAGTTTTAAAAAATATATTAATGATAGTCCTCTTGTTAGTTATATACAGCATTACAAATATATTTCCCCGCTCTGTTTCATATCTTTTTATTTTCTTTATTATGTATTTATCTTGTATTCCTTTATCATGTATTCCTTATCATGAAAAGGAATCTTAATTTTAAAATAGTTAAATTTTATCAGTCTTTTCCTTAATAATTAATCATTATTTTTCTTATTTAGGAAATTCTTCCCTACTCTGAAGTTATGAAGATATTTTTCTAGATAAAAGATATATTGTTTTTCAGAGTTAGGTTTTTAATCTGCTTGGAGTTGATTTTTGTGGACGGTGTGAGGTAATGGTACAATTTCACTTATTTTTTCATTTGTCACAGACTCAACTGAAAAGTTTATCCTTAATATTGTGCCACTTATATCATGGTACTATTGTTCACATATGTTTCTAAGCTCTCCATGCTTTTTCATTTGTCTGTTTGTGTTTCTGCACCATTACCTCACAGCCGTAATTACTATTGCTTTATGCTATCTGGTAGAGCAAGTCTTTCCTCCTAAGTTCTTGGTTCTTCACATTTTTATGTGAATATTAGAAGCAGGTTTCAAGTTTCATGAAAAATAACTTTTTGGGATTTTGACTGGAATTGCATTGAAGCTCTAAAGCAATTTGGAATGAACTGACATCTTTAAAGTATTGAATCTTTCAATCCATGTACATGGTGTGTACATACCCCTTCTTTAACTGCCCTCAGTAAAGTTTTATAATTTTCTCTATAGAGTTCTAACAGTTTTTGTTAGATTTGTTCTGAGGTACATCTTTTTTTTTTTTTTTTTTTGCTGTTGCATGTATCTTTTAAAAACAGGGGAATTCTCTGGCGGTCCAGTGGTTAGAACTCCACGCTTCCATTGCAGGGGGCACAGGTTTGATCCCTGGTCAGGGAACTAAGATCCCGCATGCTGCGTGGCACGGCCAAAAACCCCCCAGATTATTTGGAAAGTTAGAAGTATATCCACTAAAAAATTATTCACAATGTGAAAGTTGAGAGTTACGTTTTATACGGCGGAAACTTTTAGTGCTTCAAGCCTGGGAGGCAGCATCTCAAGTAACTGTGAGAGAACTGCTCTGAGGAGGTGGGGTGAGGAGCCAGGACATATAGGAGTTTTGCAACAAAGGGCAGGTGGTCTGAACGTCAGAAGATTATTGTTAATTAAAGAAAACTGGATATGTCAACTTAAGGAATTTAGAGCTTTTCTATATATGGGAAGATGCAAGAGTCTGGGCTCATTGAAATCATTCCTTTGATATGCATCTCAGCTGTCTGGGACCAGTATCCTATGTTTGCATAACCTGAGTTTCCTCAGGGCTCACCAGCTCACCATAGGCTGTGGCTGCAAAGGTGGTGGCTGCAATGGCTGGTGACTGTGACATCCTTTGTTTGCTAATATGGCAGGACATATTCCACTTCTCAGGTACATATTTTTATCTTTCTTTTGTATATTGTCTTTGTATCTGCAACATTCTAACTTTCCTTTTTTTTACTTGCCATACTGTATAGCACAGGACCTACAGTGCAATGTTGATAGAAATGGAAATACTGGGCATTTTTGTCTGATCTCTTTTAATATTTCGCCATTAAGTGTATTGTTTGCTATAGGTTTTTTTGAGATGCCTTTTCTCTGTGTTCCAGTTGCCTTTGCTGTAGGGACATAGACACTACCTCTGGATGGAAGGGAGTGTCAAAGTCACATTTTAAGAGTATGTGAGAAGAGAGATATTGCTACAGCCGTTATGTCTGATTATGGAGTTGTCTATTTCTCTTGGTATTTCTGCCAGGTTTTTTGTTTTGTTTTATGTATTTTGAGGCTGTATCATTAGGTGCCTAAATTTTTTATTTTTTCATTGCACCTCGCAGCATTCGGGATCTTAGTTTCTCGACCAGAGATAGAACCCATGCCCCTTGCAGTGGAAGTGCAGAGCCCTAACCACTGGAGCGCCAGGGAATTCCCATAGGTGCCTAAAATTTTAAATTAGTTAAATCTTACTGGTGAATTAAAGTGTTTAATTGTGCACAGTGGAACTCCTCTGTTTCAGTTCTTTTAGTGTTCCTCTGGATTTCAAAACAGGCATATCTAACTTATCAAATTATAAAGTTGATTAATTAATGCATTGATTAATCAGCAGGGGAATTAGCACAAATAATTTAGCCCATGGTTACCGGAAACTAGAAGTCAGTACTGTCTTTATTTTGAATTGTATGTGGAAATAGGCGCAACTGATTTTCTTCAACACCTAAGAACCTCTAAAGTTGTAATATCACCAGCTGTGTGATTGTTGAGTCAGTTGTACACTGTTAACCAGAATGTTGTTGACTGAAAAAAAATGTGCAATGTAAAAGTTGAGAATTATGTTTTATTTTGCGGACAAAACGAGGACTTAAGCCCAGGAGGCAGTCTCTCAGATAGCTCAGGTGGCTCTGAGGGACTGCTCCAAAGAGTTGAGGGAAGGGCCAGCATATACAGGAGTTTTTGCAAAAAAGACCAGGTAGTTGGAACTTCAAAAGATTACTGTTAGTTAAAGAAAGCCAGATAGTATCTCAAGCTAATGAATTTAGTGCTTTTCTATGTATGGGAAGATGCAAGAGTCTTGGCTCATTGAAATTATTCCTTTGATGTGACCTTAGCTATCTGGGACCAGTATCCTCTTCCTTTCCATCCTGAGTCTCCTCAGGGTGCACCATGGGGGTGACTGCAGTGATTGAGGGCTTGGCAGTGGGCAGCCCGTTTGTCTCCATCCTGAGTTCCCTCAGGGCTCACTTTCAGGGGGGCTGTAGTGGCTATCAAGCCATCAGGCTGCAACATCCTTTGTTTACTGATATGGCAGGCCCAAACATTTTTCATTTACAATGTTGATGAATAAAAGGGAAGGTCCTGGATCTATTATCTTGCTTATGTTTCTTGAGCAAATTTCCTAATAAAGGAATTCTGTAACTTTTTTGCAGATGACACATAGTATTTAAAAATCTTTCAAAAGATTGCATGCTTAGTGTCTTTTTAGTGGAAAAAGAAATGTTGGACTCACCTTGATAGCTATGGAGTATTATATTAGTTAAAAAATTGTTAAAAGTTATCATATGAGCTTATGAAGGGATTTTTTTTTCATTTATGGGAGACTAGGTGTTACATTTTGTCTCTTTTTCAGTGTGTTCTGAATAATATCTCTCAACAATCAGAAAATAATTCAGGAGCTCAGAGCTCAGTAAACCTAATTCAAGTACAAGCTACATTGTTTAACCTTGGTAGATATTTAATTATTCTAGGCCTTTAAAACAAATAAAGTAACTCCAAAGTAATGTGGCCAGTATACACAACTTTTTGAAAGTGTCACCAACTGTGTGACACATCAATGGGATTATAGACCTTTGCCTTTGTCCAGAAAAGTGCATATATGCATAGATAACAGAAGTTTGTATACTTTTTCAATGGCCTTCTGAATCTCATTCATAAACTATATTTATATAGTTTATAAGCGATAAACACCCATCCTCAACTCACCAACCTGGCTAGGGGTCTCCACCTAAGAGAGGTGCTTGTTCAGAGCTTTCTTTTAGGGAAATATTCTACTAATGTGGGCAAAGTCAAGATTTCCATTTCTATCCAGCCTCCACACCACCACCATGATTATGGATATCACGTCCTACCTATTTTTTGATCACATGGAGAAACTCATGATGTGTTCTGGATTCTGGAAAATTTAGTCATTGCAAGGAAAGGAACTCAGAATGATTTGCTTACTGATGGGGAGTGAATGTCACCATTTTTATATATGAAAGAAAATGTTATTGGAGTACTAACCAAATATTCTTTCTTTTTTTATTAAAGCTGTTTCCTCTGCCTCTCCTCTATGTTGGAAACCACATAAGTGGATTATCAAGCACAAGTAAATTAAGGTAGAGTGCAGGATAATGGTTGATTGGAGTCTTCACTCATTTGCTTTTAGTGTCACAAAGACCAGCTTTGATTTTTCAAGATATTGCTTAGGCTACATATAGAAGACAATAATATTCCATAACTTAAGAAAATAAGGTAGAGTTTTGAATTTAATTTGATAATGCTTTAGAAATATCACAAAGCTGATATATTTTTCTTTATGTTCAAGTCTGAAGATAGAATGTGAGATCTATAGAAATCAAGATAGAGAAGGTATGATTTATTCAGGAAGATTCATTTATACGAATATGGTTCTGTGTAACTTTTGGTTTCATCACAGTTTTATAAAAGCAGGAGTATTCTGTCAGATTTGGTGTAGGTCAGGCTTGGTACAAGGAAAAATAAATGACAGACGTTATTTTCAAGTATGTGATATATACTTCTGAAATCTGCATTTGCATTTATTTTATGGTCCTTTGACTACTCTGTTAAAAGTCGCTGCAAAAATGAAAATAGAAGTGTACAAAGACCAAGTCATCCTATAAACTGGAAAACGTGGCGTGAAATATGTAGACTAATGAACACACATTAGGGTGACAAACCTTATGAAAAAGATGTGAATAATGGGAAAATGAAGTCTGACCAAAGGGTGACAGAAATGGAAGGAAACCTGTTTGTATAGGGAGAGAAGAAAAGTGGCAGGTAGGAGGTAGACCAGAAGGAGAAAGTACATATAAAACTGAGAAATGTGAAATTAGGCCTGTTGCCTTTCACTCTTGTTTGGAAAGGACAGATTGTGGTTGTTGTGAAAAACAATATGTCCAATAATGTTTTTAGTTACATATTTTAGTTGTTTTGTTGTTTCCTTCTGGGATTAGGACAATTTTCCTTAATTGTCTTAAATTTGTATTAAAATTCCCTGAGGTAGGTGCTATTGCTGTGTTGCCACATATCCTCTTGCCCTGTCTCTGAGCCCACCTGCAGCGTGGGGATGCCTTCAGTTACCCTCATAGCTGCCCAGCCGCACTGGGGGTCTCTGCCTCGCAGATGAGGCCTTCTTGTTTTAGTGATCTTATAAACATCTTTATTACAAGTGGTGCTTGAGTGCTGTGGGGGCCTTCAGCAAGTGAGACTGAGGAGGAAGGAAGGAAGATTGCTTATACGTGGTGTCACGTAGTATGTTTCTCTGTCTCCCCTATTTTCCATAAACTGGTGGTTGGTCCTAGAGGCTTGATCAGATTCAGATTCAATTTTTCAGGCAACATCAGTTTATTGGTGATGTTGGGTTCCTTCTACTGCATCACCTCATGGGACACATAATGTTTTATCCCACCTTTAATGATATTTAGTGGATCAGTTCCAGTTTTAATGATTTTAAGGGGTCAGTGTGGTCCCTTCATTAGAATGTTTCCCATCAATTTTTCACCTAATGGTTTTAGCCTCTATTGATGACCATTGTCTAGATCCACTATTTCATTTCAAATTGAAAAATGATGATTTTCTAACTATATCACCCCTTCTACATTAATTGTCTAAACTTCCTCAATAAATACAAACTTTCATTCACCATATCATACAGGAAAGGCAGGATAAAACTTTATTTATAAATGTTCAGAGTAATAAATTAGTGTCCTGTCACCTTCAATAGTGAGTTGTTGTTTTTTGTTTTGTTTTTTACCATCATTATTAACTCATGCATTTTCATTTATTTGAAACAAGTCCCTCATGAGATATGCATTTTGCAAATATTTTCTCTCAGTCTATGGCTTGTCTTTTCATTCTCTTAACACTGTCTTTCAGAGCAGAAGTTTTAATTTTAATGAAGTTCCACCATCATTTTTTTCTTTCACAGATTGTGCCTTTGGTCTTGTATCTAAAAACTCGTTGCCAAACCCAAGGCCATCTAGATTTTCTCCTACATTATCTTCCAGAAGTTTATGTTTTACATTTAGGTGTATGATCCATTTTGAAGTTAATTTTTGTGAAAGGTATAAGGCCTGTGTCTAAGGTTTTTTTACATGTAGATGAACAGTTGTTTGAGCACCATTTGTTGAAAAGGCTATTCTATCTCCATTGAATTGTATTTGCTCCTTTGTCAAAGATTAGTGACTATATTTGTGTGGGTATATTTCTGGGCTCTCTATTCTGTTCCATTATTCTATTTGTTTCATTTACTTAATGTTTTAATTCATTATATAAATACTTCTTTTGATGCTCAAATTATATCATCTCAGGTCAGTGGGAGCCTCTTTGAGTTGACTCCTATGTTCTAGGGCCCCAGTAGTCTTTGATTACTTCCTTGCTTCCTGGCACATGATGTCCCAGATTTATTTGGACTTTTCCTGCCATTTCTCCAAGGATCCCCTGGTTATTTTTAGTGTGAGGTTGAGGCCATAGTCTGGGTGCTGGATATATTTAGAAGAAAGGGCTAATGCAGTATCCTGATGAATAACATGTAGGGTATGAGAAAAAGAAAGACCAAGATGCCTTCATGGTTTCTGTACATTCTTGCCAAATTTGTTATTGTCTATCTTTTTGATTATAGCTATCATAGTGGTTGTGATGTCGTATCTTATTGTGGTTCTGATTTGCATTTCCCTGATGATTAATGATATTGACCATCTTTTTATATGCTTATTGGTCATTTATACAGCTTCTTTGGAGTAATGTCTATTCAAGTCCTTTGCCCATTTTTTAACAGGGTTATTTATCTTTTTATTATTGAGTTTTAAGTCTTTAGGTATTCTAGATACAGGTCCTTTATTATATATATGATTGCAAAATTTTCTCCTATTCTGTGGATTGTCTTTTTACTTTCTTGATGGTGTACTTTGAAGCACTTTTAAGGTTTTAAAATTTTAATTAATAATTAAGGTAAAATATACATAACGTAAAACTCACCATTTTAACTATTTTTAAGTGGACAGTTAAGTGGCATTAAGTATATTCACGATCTTGAGCAACCATCACCACTATCTATTTCCAGAAATTTTTCATCATCCCAAACAGAAATTCTGTACCCATTAAACTGAATGCCCCATTCCCCCATCCCCCTGGCCCTGGTAAACTCTATTTTACTTGCTATCTCTATGAATTTGCCTATTCTAGATATTTCATACAAATGGAATCATACAATATTTGTCCTTTTATGTCCAGTTTATTTCAGTTAGCATAATGTTTTTGTTTCATCCATGTTGTAGCATGTATCAGAATTTCATTCCTTAGTAAGACTGTATGATATTCTATTGTATGTATCTATCACATGTTGTTTATCTATTTATAGAAGTTTTACATTTTGGGGAAGTCTGATATATTTATATTTGTTATTGTTGCTTGTGCTTTTGGTATTGTGTCTAAAAGAATTTTGCCTGACCCAGGGTCATGAAGATATAATCTTATTCTTTCATCTAAGAGTTTTATAGTTTTAGCTCCTACATTTAGGTCTTTGATATATTTTGACATAATTTTTTCTATATAGTGTGAGGTAGGGGTCCAAAATCATGCTTTTGCATGTGAATGTTGAGTTGTTTCAGCATTATTTATTGAAAAGACTGTTCTTTCCCCATTGTATTGTCTTGGCACCCTTGTTGAAAATTAATTGACCGTAATTGGAAAGATTTATTTCTTGATTCTCAATCTTATTGCTTTGATTAAATGTTTATCTTTAAACTAGTACTAGATAATACTGATAATTGTAGTTTTGTAAGTGAGTTTTGAAATTGGGTCCACCAACTTTGTTCTTCTTTTTCAAGATTGTTTTGGCTTTCTGGTTTTCTTGCATTTCCACATTGATTATAGAATTAGTTTGTCAATTTCTGGGGGAAAAAAAGCCAGCTGAAATTTTGATAGGACTGTGTTGAATCTATAGATTTATTTGGGAAGTATTTCCATTTTAACAACATTAAGCCTCTGATCTATAACATGGAGTGTCTTTCCATTTAATCTTCTCTCACCTTTTAACAATATTTTGTAGTTTGTAGTGTATTACAATTCTTACACTGGTTTTGTTACGTTATTCCTAAGAATTTTGTTCTTTTTGATGCTATCATAAATGGAACTGTTAATTTCCTTTTGGGATTGCTCATTGCTAATGTATGGAAGTACAATTGATTTTTGTATATTCATTTTGTTTCCTGCACACTTACTTCATTTGTTCTAATAATATTTTTTAATGGATTTTCTCTGTATATATCATCTGAAAATAGAGACAACTTTATTTCTTTTCTTTTTTCCAAACTGTATACTTTTTTTTTTTTTGCCTAATTGTCCCATCTAGAACCTCAACTACAATGCAGAATAGATGTAGTGGTGAGAGTGAACATCCTGGTCTTATTCCTGATCTTAGGGGGAAGAACATTCAGCTTTTTACCATTAAGTATCCTTATCTGCTTTTATTTTTTAATTATTTTTTTCTTCTTGGCTATGCTGCATGGCTTATGGGATCTTAGTTCCCCGACCAGGGATTGAACTCAGGCCCTCGGCACTGAGAGCACAGAGTCCTAACCACTGTACTGCCAGGGAATTCCCCTTATCTGCTTTTAAAAGGCATCATCTAAAAATACTTTTTGAATTTAATGGAAAATAATAAGACTTTTTTTTTTTTTTGGTCTTGCTTTGAAAAAGGCAGTTCAGACCAGTCTCATAAGACTTTTTTAAGTGAAGTTCCTGAAAATTCTTTCTGCACTGCTCTCTGGTTGTAGTGTGAAACCCCTCCTCAGGTCTGGTCAGGAGGAGCTGCCCACCCCACCCCCCACATTCTGTAGTTCTGGCTTTCCTTTCTTTGGTCACCATCTTCTCAGGGTCACATTGGAAGCAGATGGAGGTGGGTTTTTCCAGCCCTGGCAGTCTGTGGCTGTGCATTGAGCTGTGTCCTGGAATCTCTGGGTTTTGAGAGTGGGTGAAAGGTTCATAAGTATTTTTTTTTTTTTTTTTTTTTTTCCATGGCTCACGGGCCCAGCCGCTCCGCGGCATGTGGGATCTTCCCGAAACAGGGCACGAACCCGCGTCTCCTGCATCGGCAGGCGGACTCTCAAGCACTGCGCCACCAGGGAAGCCCTCATAAGTATTTTTGAAAGGCAGTGAATGTGGCCTCATTACATAAAGTTTTAGGGAAAAATTACCCATAATTTTATCCTCTAACATACTATTTTAAATACCCACTTTCAGTCTTTTTCCATATACAGAATATATTTTATTACAGTTGTAGACTCTACATAGTTTTGTCACCTCCTTGATTTATTTAACATTCGTTTTCGAAGAGTGGTAAAGTTTTATATTATAGAATTAATGTATAACGTTCCCTCAAGTGGATTTATCATAATTTATTTAATCATTGACTTGTCTGATATTCAGGTTGTTTCTGATGCTTTTCCCAAAGACATTACTGCAATGAACATGTTTGTGCACATGATTTTTTTTCTTTCCTTTGGGTTATTATCTTAGGGTAAGTTTCCCAGCAAGAAGTAATTAGGTCCTAAGTTAGGACCATTTAATGGCTGTCCATACATAGTCCCAACTTGATTTGTCAAAGGCTGTATTGGTTCACATTGCATCTAATATTTTAGCACAAACTTTGTAGTAGTTGGATAGTATGATGTTTTGAATTGCTAGTAAGTAAAAGTGGCATGAAATTATTAAATCTCCATTTTTTTATTATTTAATATGACTTATTAGTAGCATATGTGATAATTAAGGTTAATTCCTTATACTTAATTTGGAAAATTAATGGGCTTAATTAAAAATGTAAGGCATTAAAAAAATACTTGGTGTCTGATGATATTATACTTGAATCTTTTCCTGACAGCTTGCCGATGTTCACCGTGCTCAGGAAATTTACCATTCCACTTACTTTACTCCTGGAAACCATCATACTCGGGTGATTTTTGTTTTTCTTCTTTTCCTCTGCTGTCCTCTCCCCACACCCCCACATTATTTTTACCTAGCAAATTCTCAACATCTAGTCATCTTTTCAAATAGTTGATTTGAAGTGCTAGTAGCATAACTTAAGGGCAAATGGTTTGTTCACTTAAAAGCAGTCTCCTATTTCCATGATTCCCTAAGAATGTAATGAGTGTTTTTTAAAAACAATTATAATTTTACATTAGATAAATAAAATGTGTGTGTGGTCAAAAATTATTAAAAAAAACCCCAACAACCCCAAAACAGATGTAAATCTGTTTCCTGAGCCAGATGGAATATACACTGATTTTGGAATGTAGAGGAAAAGTTGTCCACGTATATAGTATAGAATAGGAGTGCAGAAAATCAGGGAAATTCATTCTGATGCAGTAATTATGATATAACATCAGAATAAATTAATTTTTTATAATGTTGGTTTAAAAATTTCTCATAAAGATACTCAAGCTGACATCTAAAAAGGTGATTCTTGATTTTGCTGTGGAGACTATTTAATGATGAAATTTGGATGATGGCCCAATGTTTTAAGTTTTACTATTGAATTTTATCTTAACCTTTGGATGCTTGATAAAAGTACACCAACTAGACCCACCAGCAGGAGCTCTTCTGCATTTTGTCCCAGCGTCTTTCTAGTGAGAACAGAGAAATACATTTGTAATTAGATTAAGACAACTACTTAAGAAATAAAGTAAATTTGGTCTGATTTCCTAATCTATTTAAGGTACCTTTAGTACTCTTTTTACATAAAGCATTGTCCATTAGATTTTAGCTATAAAACTGTTAACAATGTCTATTTGCAGTTTATTTTAAAAATATAATCTATATTTTTTCCTCTCCTCCTCCTTTCCTTATCTATCTATCTATCTATCCATCTATCCATCTGTCTGCCTACCTATCTAACCACCCACTATTTATTTATTACAGGAAACAGTATTCCTTGAACATCATTGTCAGTGTCTTTGCCATCATTCTTGGTGCTTTCATAGCAGCTGGGTAAGACTTTGGACTATTTCTGCTCAATAACTCCTTTGTGTCTTTGACAATAGGCCTGGCTCCCTCCTCATTTTTCATTTTCCATCTGGCTGCAGTTGAATTGAGCAGCCAAGAGACAAATCTGTTGATGTTAGTGGAATCCCCATGTGTTCCTGTGAAAGTCAAACTGGGTTCCAAGTTGGCCAGAACATTTCTGAGAAATATATAGAGTGAGCATTACAAGGTTTTAATACAACTTTTCTTCATAAAAAGGAGTAAACTGTATACTTTTATTACTGAATGTTTATCTTCAATATAAAAATTTTACAAAGAATTTTGAAAAGTTCTTAGGCATTTGACTAAGAAGAATAACAGATTTATAAAGCCCTTGTAAGCTGATTTATCATCCTGTGATGCCTTATTGGTCAATATTTCCAAGGATGGAATACTCTCATTAAATGTTTGGGACATGAGCCAATACAAGTGCATGACTACTATCTTATTCATTAATATACCTGACCAGGAATAAGGACTCCAAGTTTGCATTTGAAAGCAGGCACTCGGACTCCTTTTATAGCATAGTGGTTAAAGCATGTGTGCAGTTACCTTCCTTGGTTTGAAACTTAACTTCTGTCAGCTATTTCTTAGCCTCTCTGTGCCTCAGTTTCCTCATTTATAAGGTATAAATGATACAGTTGGCCCTGTGTGTCCAAGACTTCTGCATCTGTGGATTCAACCAACCGTGGATCGAAAATATTTTTTTTAAATTCCAGAAGATTCCCCAAAGCAAAACTTGGATTTGCTGTGCACTGGCAACTATTTACATAGCATTTACATTGTATTAGGTGTTATAAGTAATCTAGAGATGATTTAAAGTATATGGGAGGATGTATGTAGGTTATATGCAGACGCTGCACATCATTTTTTATAAGGGACTTGAGCATCCATAGATTTGGGTACCTGCATGTGGAGGGTGTGGGGGTGTGGGGTACTGGAACCAGTCCTCCGTGGATATGGAGGGACAACTGTAGAAAAGGAAAAGGAAAACCTATGTGAATGAAAGGAAGAAAGAAAAAGTTGGAGGAATTTCAGTTAAACTAGTTTCATTAACTCATTTAGAAACAAGAGTTCTGGATCATTAATTGCAAATTAAATAAGGTGTGGGCTACAGAGCCAGTATGTCTGGAACCCTATTCTAGTCTCCTCACTTAACTGGCTATATAACCAAGGACAAGCTATTTAACCTCTCTGTGCCCCAGTTATTTTGACTATGAAGTGCAGATTAGAATATCATCCACCTAATAGCATCACTATGAGAATTAAATGAGATAATAATAATAATAAACCAGGATTTACACTAGTTCGTGGCCAAGTTCAACAAAAACATGTTGAAGCATTTACTATATGCCAGGCATCATCCTATGTGCTGAGGAATCCAGCAGTTAACAAGACCGAGAACAATCCTTGCCTTCATGGAGCTTTCATTCAGGTTGGTGGAAACAGATAATAAGCAAAAGAAATTGATTAAAGATATAGCATGCCAGCTGGTGACAGATATTAGCAATAATAATGATGTTTATTATTGTTATAAATGTGTTTAGTCCCTTGCCTAGACCAGGGTTTATTATTCGCATTTTTATCTGTAACTTCCTCTTCTCCAATTCTAGCTGTGGCTGAGCTCAGCCCCCTTAAAGCTGGCCTGTTTGGTTTCAGTGCTGTGTTTCATGCCTGATATGGTGCTGGTACAGACATTAAGCAGCCACACTTAGAGCCTGTTTTGGTCATGAAGACTTTTGTTCAAACAAAACATATGCATGAAGTAGGTAAAAACGGGAGGTGCTCTGTTAAAGTGCCTTCCTCCCACAGGGCTGAGGTCTCCCCTGGGCCGCCTCTCTCTTCTAGGTTTCTTGGAGCTCAGTTTGAAAACCACTAACTTAGAGCCAGTTGAAGACTTTTACAAAAATTGGTTTATAAAAATGTAAGTCTTTGATGAGGCATGGCACTTCAGACTCTGTGTGTATGAAAGCACATCTCCAGGAGCAGTTAGTAGGAATTCAGCTCATAGGTGATACTCTAGTGAGCTGAAAGGGTAAATAGTGTTTCCCAAAACATCTAACTTTTACCCGAGAGCCAGCTTGGAATAGTAATTCTCGGCTTTCCCCTTCCTCAGCACCCACAGAATGGAAAATATCCCTGTGGGTAACAAGCACAGTTCTTAGCTGCAGCCCAGCTGTAACCGCACCCTTCTCTGCTCTCACTCAAATTAACTCGTCAAATGCAGGTAACAGATGAGCCAGTTTAGGCAGCTGTAACAAATAGCCCCTACATCGTGGTTGTTTAACATACCAGATACATTCTCACATTCCAGATGCATACTAACATCAGTGAATGCTGTGGGAGTGCTCTGCCCATTGTAGCTACTTAGGGACCCAGGGTGATGGAACCTCTGCCTTAAAGGGGGTTTCCTTGCTCATCCAGAAGGGAAGAAGGCATGTGGGGAATTGTCTACTTCTTCTTACATTGTATTTGCCAAAGCAAGTCACATGGCCAGCAAAAGTTGAAATATAATGTCTGCGAACAGCCCTAAATGACAATCACATGGGCTGACCGTGAATATGCTCCCATTTGTAACACAAGTAAATTCTTATCAAACTTCTGTGCTTTCACTACTGGCCTAAACAAATGATGTTGGGAATTCCTGGCCCCCTCAAGTAGGAGATCTGAAAACTCCAAGAATTCCCCTTAGGCACTCTGAGGAAGTGAGTAACACTTCCTTTCCATTCCTCGGGAATCCTCACTTTTTTGCTCATTCATCTCTTTGCCATCTTAGGGAATGGCAGACTCTTCTTAACACTGAGCTGAGTGTGGGTAGGAAAGATCTGGAAAACCCTTATTTTCAGAGTTTCTATTGTGATTGAGCCAGAGAATTATGATGATCTAAAATTAATTTATAGTCTCACAAATATATTTTTAGGTAAATAATGCCAGTGGAAGCCTCAAGCAAAATCTGGTTTAATTTGCATTCAGATTTTGATGCAATTTTTGCCTATTTACTTCTTTTTGGTTAGAAATAATCTTATTTTGATACTGAAGGGCATAAGGATATACCACTCCAATATATGCCACTTTGGCATAAACATTATTTTGAGTTGAAGGCAATTGAGAATCAACAGGTGTGGGAAGAGTTCTCTGCCCTCCGTTTTCTGCCTAAAAGTAGACCATAAATTTGCCTTTGTGAGGGTTTCCCTTGGTCCTGTACTTGAAATAGGAAAGCAATTCTTATCACCAGAGACAGAGAGTAAGCATCAAGATGAATCTGCATAAACAAACCTTATTAAAATAACCCTTATCTTCCATTAGTTTCCCCTATATATTTCCTAGTCCCTTTCCCACAATTTATTTGTTCCTTAACACCCAAACCCTCTTTTTTGTTAAAATGGTATCTAAGCCTCAGAGTCTGACCACTTCTTTGAGTTTCATTTCTTTTCTGTGAACTCCTGTGCATGTAAAATACAATTTGTATTTTTTTCCCCTGTTATTCTGTCTGTTGTCAGTTAAATTCGCAGGCCCCCAGACACTGACCCAAAGAGGGTAAAGGAAATCTTCTTGACAATATATACTTATGAATTTGGACATGGGTGTGGTACTGTTTGCAAGGTCAAGTGCAGGTGAATGCATCACATCTGGGCTTAGCTGTTGTTCACTCTCTCCTCCCTTTGCCATATTCCCCCCAAACATTTTTATACTAGTGTTATTTATTTAAAATGGAAATTGAAGAGAAGATGCTTCAAAGAATGGGAAGAAAGGGGCCTTAGAGGAGTTGCAGAGAAGGAATGGATCCCTGCCTTGCCTTTTTGATGGACAGGATAGTGGGGGTGCTAGTGGATGACGTGACTGTTTGGGGACCAGATGGAGGTGTCAGTTCCTCATTTGACCCCTTTACCATGTCACTGCTCAGCTGTCCCCAGAGGGCTGTACTCTGGGGAAGGCCCTATTTACTACAATAAGAAAAGCCACAGGTGGGTTGAACAAATCATTCCTCTTTATCAGTTAGCAAAAGAATAGCTTTGCAGTCAAAGGAAGATGGTTAATGTCCCTCTGGTTTTAAGCGGTTGTGATTAAGTTTAAGCCTCCTGAAGGCCTGGTTTTGTTTTTGTCTGGGGACAGGGCAGAAGAATTAACCATTCATCACCATACAGGGGGAAAATGTGCCAGAGAAAAGGTAGTTACTAGCATCACAAATGGATTTGATTAGGAAAGATAAAACAGAGAGTGTCTGAGGCCAAGTTGTGAGTTTCTGAATAATCATACTCCTCTGTGTTCTCCCTCCCAGTTCTGACCTTGCTTTTAACTTGGAAGGCTATATTTTTGTATTCCTGAATGATATCTTCACAGCAGCGAATGGTGTTTATACCAAACAGAAAATGGACCCAAAGGTACCAGATCTTCACTCCTTTAGCTTTTAGGCTTTGTCATCTGGCCACTGAAATTACATGAAAAAATGAACTTGTAAAGCTGACATGTAATTTAATTTACATGTTATGATCTACAGATTACTAATTTCTTTTTAATTATCTTGTCTGCATAGGTTCTTGTTACTCCTTGTCTTGCAAAGTTTGGGTGAAAATTAGGTAGGAAGGGAAAAATGGGCACTATTTTAGATGCAAAGTCAGAATACTATATAGAAAGGGGATTATTTTGAAAGGCAAATTAAAATTAGAAGTTTTTTTACCATCATCATCAGTGACCAATGTGAAGTCAGGAGTATTCTGAAAGCAGCTGTAGTTTGAGAGTCTGGAGATGTGGGTTACAGATACAAGTTTTGCTGCTGACTGGTTATTGTGACCTGGAACCTTCACTTCTCCAAACCTCAGTTTCCTCATCTGTGGAATGAGATGATTGGAACGGATAATTTATAAGGTCCTGTCACGAGGGGCGGGTGGGCAGATGAGCTTTCCTTCATTGTGGCTGCCCTCAGGTCAGAGCTCCCAGCCCTCACCCCCACCCCAGCTGTGCAGGAAGCTCTGGAGGAGGGCCCAGGCATATGTTTCTTTGTTCCAAGTTCTTTGTGTTAAGTGAGGGTGTTCTCTCTGATGGACAGGCTTATTCCTATGAGCTGTTTTTTATCTGCGCTGTATTTTTCTGCACTACCATTTGTTTTTTAATGGTGGCAGTTTTACAAAACTGGTTTTGCTGTCTTTTGAGAATCACAGTATGTCACCCTGTATGGAAAGTGGTGGATGTAGCCTCTAACGAAAATTAAATTTATGCAAGATTGGAAAACAAGATACATGGTGTTTTAACCCTGCTGTTCCTGAATAGAAAGAGCAGATGTTTTTAAGGAGTTCCGTTTATATTAATATTGTTAATGCTGTTTACTTTGTTCCAGATTTCCCATTTTGAATAGCATGCTTTTAAAAAAAGAACAATTAGAATGTTAGAGATGGATGGAACCTCGGAGTCCATCCATCTCCATCCATTTTATCTGTCATTGTTTGGATAAAACAAATATTTTTTTGGAAATCACAGTACACTTGAAATGAAGCATTTTACATCAGAAATTTGCTGAAAATATTCCAATACAGAGCTGGTCAGAATGCATGTTCTAACTCTGCATAAGTACATGGTTGTATAATTAGCTTCAGGGGAAAATAAAATAAAATAAATGGCTCCAGGAAGTCTGATGCTTCATATTTCTAAAACTGAGTGGAGTTTTCTTGGTTTTTGCAGGAGTTAGGGAAATATGGAGTGCTTTTCTACAATGCCTGCTTCATGATTATCCCAACTCTTATCATTAGTGTCTCTACTGGAGACCTTCGACAGGTGAGCTGATGACAGTCATTCATTCTTACTTAGCAGTGTTTAAAATTTTAATATTTAACCTGTGGTACTTACTGAAGTAAAAAGTGTATAAAGGTAACCAGGATTTCCGAAAGCAAGATGTTTGGTACCCCCAGTAATACCTTTGGCACTTTCCTCTTTTTGGCATTTATCTTTAGAACTGTGGGGAGTAGCAGGAAGTAGTCAAAAAAACTCTGGTCTTGAAGCCTTTTGCAAAACAACAACAAAAATGTGAGTTTGAGTCTCACTTTCCGCTTTGTTGGCATGGGGATCCTGAGAAAGCTAGTTAACTTTGAAGGGGACTTTGATAGTTTAAAAAATGGATTTACTTATTTATTACCCTTGTTATGGACATTTGGAAAAATACACACAAAATAGAGAGAATAATTTAATGAACTCTCTTGTACCTATCACACAGCTTCAACACTTTTTGGCATTTCACCATTCTTATTTCATCTATCCTCATCTGCTCTCACTTTTTTCCCCCCGGAATATTTTAAAGTAAATCCCAGACATCATGGCATTTGCCTCTAAATATTCCAGGATCTACATTTGAATTTTGAGAAGGTTTTGTTCTTTTGGTATTTGCCCTGTTCACCTTATCTGCTGTACACCTGTCAGAGACAAATAAAATGATAAATTAGTAGAAGGATGGGAGGCCCAGTTGGAGGGTGGGTATCTCTTAGGAAGAGTGAATGTTCACCCCATAACATCCGCATGGCTGCCTTGAAATGTGCGGGCTCAGAAAGTTGCCAGACAAACCACTTTAAGTTCATGTGAGAAACGAGGTGTGCTGGGCAAAATCCTGGTCTAGTGTGGCCTCTGGCCTCTCCCACAGACGTCCCCCTCCACACCATGGGCTGGGCATTAACCTTCATTAACCCTGTTGTTGTTGCTGGGCCGGGGGTGGGGTTCACAGTCCCCCACCTTCGCCCCCACCCCAGCGGCAGACGTTGACGGCATTTCTGTATTTATCAGTCAGCATGGTTGTGTGGTGCACACAGGTTTAGCGTCAATCCCATTTGTCACCTTTTAGGGGTTTGAATGACTTTAGAAGGTTTCAGATTCCGGGGACTCCTGGGGTGAATGTCAGGGCTCATTGTTCTTTCTCAGAACTATACTTTCTCCCTTGTACAGTTCCTTTCTCAGAACAAGAGAAAGGTTGACCAGCTTAGCAATGTCCCCAGGGGTAAACATCCATTTCCATATGTTTATATTGAAAACTACCAAGAAACCCCAGTTTTTGTTTTTTTTTTTTTTTTTCCTTGCGTTATGCGGGCCTCTCACTGTTGTGGCCTCTCCCATTTGCGGAGCACAGGCTCCGGACGCGCAGGCTCAGTGGCCATGGCTCACGGGCCCAGCCGCTCCGCGGCATGTGGGATCCTCCCGAAACGGGGCACGAACCCGCGTCCCCTGCATCGGCAGGCGGACCCTCAAGCACTGCGCCACCAGGGAAGCCCGGAACCACAGTTTTGATTAAAGTGGTCTCAGTGTGTGAACCTGGGCCTCACTGTTAGTTCAGAATATTGGAAGTTAAAGCAAGCACCCCATATACCTTTAGCAATGGTGAACAGGGCAGAATATCTAAAAGCACATTATTTATTTTTCAGCTACCATCAATTAAACCAATTTAGTGTCAGCAGCATTACATAAACAAGGTGAAATTATGAGCCCTCAATGTCCTACCGGCTTGTCTCTTTTCATTATCATAAAAATGAGTTTTTCTTTTGAGTCTCTGGAGTTTATCTGTTCTGAGATTCTGGTACTTTATAGCCTTTCAGATATATATTTATTTCTAGAAATAGAAATCTAGAAACTTCTAGGAACTCTTAGAACACCTGATTGAAACTAAAAGCACATTTCCCTATGGGAATAATGTTATAAATGGCATAGTGACCAGAAACTGAATTTTAGGTACCTTTTGAAAATAGACTACATGTATTATGTTAACAATTTATAACAGCATTTCAATAGGAATATGTATTTCCACATTTAAATCGTTGACTTGCAAACTTATAACATGGTGCTTTCAGAAGTTGCCACCTGCTTGTAATGATTACCATGCAGAATTATTATACTTTCTCAAGTAATAGTAAAAATAGCTAATGATTATTGAGGAATTATTCTATCAGACATTGTTTGAAGCATTCTACATGACCTGTCTCGTTGCATTCCCACATTAGCTTGAGGAGAAGGTACTATTATTATCCCCATTTTATAGACAAGGAATCTAGGGCACAGTGTTTAAAAAACTTTCCAAGGACAGTAAGTGATAGATCCAGGAGGCTGTCTGGCTCTAGAAACACATCATCTGCTGTAATCTCAATTTTTTAAAAAATTATTTATTTATTTATTTTTGGCCGCGTTGGGCCTTTGTTGCTGCGCACAGGCTTTCTCGAGTTGCGGTGAGTGAGGGCTGTTCTTCCTTGCAGTGTGCAGGCTTCTCATTGCAGTGGCTTCTCTTGTTGTGGAGCACTGGCTCTTGGCTCATGGGCTTCAGTAGCTGTGGCACGCAGGCTTCAGTAGTTGTGGCTCACAGGCTCCAGAGCACAGGCTCAGTAGTTGTGGTGCACGGGCTTAGTTGCTCCGCGGCATGTGGGATCTTCCCGGACCAGGGCTCGAACCTGTGTCCCCCTGCACTGGCAGGCAGATTCCCAACCACTGCACCACCAGGGAAGCCCCTCAATTTTTAAATTTGTATCAGTATATGAAAAGTGTTTGTTTCTTTCCTTCACATATGGTAAAAACTATAACCTATCACTTATAGCTTAGAAAGTATAAGAGGCCTAACATTTACCTTAACTTATTCGATCCTGGTGTTCTAGGAGAATATTATGCTCCTATTCTGGCTTTCGATGCTGGAATATCTCAGTATTTACCCATCTGGCCTCTTCCATTTGATCAGTCTCTTAAGATTTCAAACAGAAGTTACTATAGTTACCTTAGAGCCCCAGCAATGATAACTATTCACTGAAATTCCAGATGGATCAGAGCTAAATATATGGATTTAATGTAAAAGTTTGTAAGAAAAATTATAATCAGAAAAAATTTTTTTTTTTCTGTAAGAGACTGTAAGAGAAGGCCTTCTATAAGATGACAAAGATATGAAAGTCATAAAGTTAAAATTTTGGCTCTAATTTAAAATTATTATATGATAAGAGATGCCAAAAGAGATAACACTGTAATCAGTAATTTAAAAAACTCTGTAGGAAAAAATAGTAAGATTTTTCACTACTAATGTTGTTTTGCTCTGTGTTCATTGAATCACCATGAATTTCTTCCAGTTGGTCACTTTTAACCATGGCTGAATCCATTTTAGACTGTGAATCAAATACAAAAAAGTAGTGAACTTACATAATTAGGTGTGTTAGTCTGCAATATAAAATGGCATTTTATTTGCCAAGTTTGGTTTGATTGTATTGAAAGTTAATTGAGGAATTCGAGTGAAAGTTTAGCTTCTCTTGTTCATGGAAGGAGTACTTTGATGAGTCATTTTTCCTGGTTGACTGTAGGGGGTCAGAGATTGTGTTAAGACTGGTGTGTGTGACTCACTGTACTGGGGGTTCACTCTTGGACCTTGGACTTACACAGTCATCGACTTAACACAGTCAGCAGATCTGGTAATAGCACCTTGATTCTATCTGCGATTGACAAAGTCAGTAATGCCAGCTCCTCTTGTTAACAAATTAGGCCCCTGGAAAATAGTGGGTGAACTTTCTTTAGTTATTTGAATCATTGCAATAAGTTCAAGGTACATTTAGTGTGTTGCAGTTGATGAACAGGGATAAATAATAGGACTTCTTTTCTGATTAAAGAACACATTAATGAAAAATGAAAAAGATTCACACTCCAACATATTTTCATAGCAATAGTGAGTCTAAAGGAGGAAGTACTTAATATTGTTACTCATCTTTATTTTCTATGTTTTCAAATAAATGTCATGCCACATGACTTTTTAAAATGCCACCAGCACAGCCTCATCATTATTAAAGAAACAAAATAAAATTAAAATCTATCAAAATTTAGGTTGGCAATGAATCCAAGTACTTTTATGAAAATTACTACATAGCTCTCAATGGTTTATGTGGTTACCAAGAATATATAGTTTTTGTATACTGTTTTCATAAATACTCCCAGTTCTTTGAGTAAATAAGTGTTTTCCTACCTTTGGTTTGAAGTTTGGGGCATATGCTTTTCTCTTATTCACAATCTTATTTAATTTTTCAGACACAGAATGCTTTCCATAAGTTTCTGTTTGGTTTTGATCTTTGACTGTCTTGGTATAAACTGTCCTGGATGTTTTATGACCCTTTGATCAGCTTGGGGCTTGCCAGTAAGACAGATTTATATTTATTATATTTTTTATTTCACAAATAAGTGTTAAAAAGAAAAGTTTTATTATGAAAACTTTCAAACCTGTTCAGAAGGAAAGAGAATAGTATAACAAATCCTATGTACCCATCAACCAGGTTTGGCAGTTATCAACATTTAATGTGTATTTTTTCATAAGAGTTGGTCAAAATGTTACTAATGAAACAGTGACAGTAAAGTGTAACAAGGTTGTACTAATCAGAGAAGAGAATTCCATTTTAATTGGTTTAAAAATTTGAACTATAAACTTAAGAAAGATTTAAATAGTTTTAAATCTACAAAGTTACTAAAACTTGGCTAACAAAGTATTGCTTAATAGAAAGTGAATAGAACTTATATTTAATCATGTTATTTAGCATGTACTTACATATAGTCTTGAGTCACCATAAAGTCATTTTTGGTCGCAGGCAAGGGACAAATCATGAATAAAATACTCCTTTTTATTGTTACCTTTTCAAAAGGGTTAATTTTATTTTCTCACCTAAGAGCAGAAGCTGTCTTAAACTTCTCTGTCTACCAGCTCCTCCACCCCAATTACTTGATTGCTTTGTAAATAGCAAACAATAGTTTATTTGTTCATGATACTTCCTAAGCATTTGCAAATTCTTTTTTTTTTTTTTTTTTTGGCTGCTCTTAGTTCCCCAACCAGGGATGGAACTGGGCCCTGGCAGTGAAAGCTCTGTGTCCTAACCACTGGACCGCCAGGGAATTCCCTTTTTTCTCCCTCTTGTGCAAATTCTTGAAAACAGTTTATGAACTTTAAGTTTTCTTAGTCTTGCCAACATTATTAAATTTATAATAAACTTTCTTTTAATATTATTTATTAAAAACACAACGCTGATTTTATGACTACAAATTAGTAAAGATTTAATGATAGCCACAGTGATAATAGCTGTCATTTTGTTCTTGCCACCTGTAAGTTTCTAAACGATTTCATTAAATCCTCACATTGACCTTTTGAGGAAGTTCTTAAAAAAATAATCCCCATTTGTAAAATGAGCCTGAGGTTCAGGGAGGAAAAATAATTAGCCCAATGTCACACAGCTAGTATTACCCAGGATTTTTGAAACTGTATTTTCTGTTTGTGAAACGGGAGTTTGTACTAGAGTGTACACACTGGTAAAACCAGTATTATTAATCTAACCATTAGTTTTCTTTCTTTTTGATAATAGGCTACTGAATTCAACCAATGGAAGAATGTTCTATTTATCATACAGTTTCTTCTTTCCTGTTTTTTGGGGTAAGAAGCCATAGATAATAAGAAGCTTTGGTCTGTGCTATCTCTTAACAAGTCAAATCAAAATATACATTCCGTTTACTCTGTCAAAATCCCTTTTTGCTTCTCCAACTTCTACCGTAAAGTAGCACTGCCTCAGAGGAGTGGATTGGGACCTGTGCTAAATGTGACCTCCAAAATATGATGTTGCATATTGATTTCTGAAAGTTAGTTTGAAATAAAATCAGCTGCCCTATCAAATTCAAATGTGTTTTTTGTCTTTGTCACAATGTCCCAAGTTTCCCAAGGTTCTCACCTCACATAAATATTTAGAAATAACCATTTTCTGTAGTGTTGTACCTGTTATATTCAGGGTGTTTTCTGAGGAGAGATGCCCAGGCCATTCTATTGCCCAATAATTTTAGGCTTTTGTTCTTAAAATTTTCCTTAGGTATAGCTTCCTGTTGAGTGGCCATGTAGTTTGTCTTTTTATATGTTCCCCAAACTTGTAAAGTCCTTTTCATGAATAGATAATACATATAACTAGTAAATAATCCAAAAGCTGAAAAAGGATGCATAGGGAACATAAGCCACCTTCCCTTCTTCCCTGCCTTGTGACACTGCAGTTTTCCTCTCCAGAAGCAACTGCTGTTTGAAGTCTTTGGAGTATCCTTCCTGGACTGGGCTCCATGTATACACAAGCACCTGTGTCTTATCCCATAAGAAAGGGTCTTTGAATGACTGTCTTGGAATTATTTGTCAAAAGATTTTTCCTGTGAAGAAAGATGAATTCCCCCTTATTGTTTTACATTACTAGTACTGTAATTTTCATTGTGTGTAAATGAACTAAGACAATTCATGAGTCTTTGATCAACACTCTTCAATTCTTAAACTTGATCTTAGTTGCAGTAACGTAATCACATCAATAAAAATATTTATGTATATCCTCAAGTTCAACAGTTCTCTCTTTAGCTGTGTCTGATTTAATGTTTAACCTGTTTTTTGGAGGGTTTTTTTTAATTTATTTTTTATTGAGGTATAGCTAATGTACAGTATTATGTGTTTCAGGTATACCACATAGTGATTCACAGTTTTTAAAGGTTATATTCCATTTAGAGTTATTATAAAATATTGGCTATATTCCCTGTGTTGTACTGTATATCCTTGTACCTTACTTATTTTATACATAGTACTTTGTACCTCTTAATCCCCTACCCCTATCTTGCCCCTCCCTGCTGGAGTTTTTGATTTTAACAATTTTTACTTTATTTGTAAAAGTTCCACAGTTTGTTTTCAAACTTATCTGTTCATTCTTAACATTCTTTTGTTGGTCATCTTTGAGACCGTACCTTTTATTTCTTTAAATATTACACACATAGCTATTCTGTATTCTGCATCTGATGATTCCAGTATCTGCAGTTCTTGAGAATCTAAATATGTAGTTGGTTGGCTAAATATGTAGTTTGTGAGTATCATTATGGTTTGCTTTCTTGTGTATTTGGTGACCTGTGATTTGTGAGCATATTATTTAATCTTAATCAGTCCTGTGGACTGAAAATAGGAATTTGAGAAACTTTCCTGCAGGGACAAATTGTTTTTAGTCTACTTGGTAGCCAGGTGTGCCCCTGACCTGGACCACTCTGGCCTTTTTGAGGGTCTGGCCTCAGTGGGCTAGTGTGCCTTCTCACTTGGGGTTTGGCCCAGGGCTCAGTTTACAGACAGTGCTGTTTTGCAGTGGCCTCTGGCCCTGAAGCACCCTGATCCTGTACCTATTGTCTGCTGCTCTGATGCCTGCCTGGCTCAAATCCCCTTATCACTCTGTACCCAGTTTCTCCCTTTTCCCAAGGGGGGATATTAGGCAATCTCTTGTGCCTCTTTGAAGACCAACAGTCTCTCAAATAATGTGTTCTTTCAGGCATTGGTTGTTTGGCAGTGGGTGAGTACTAAGTGCTCTCAGTACTTAGGCAGCCATTGTTGGATGCCTAAGTGTAGTAAGATATTTGTAGTTTTCCCAGTTGTTGACTGAGAACATATGACTTTGAAAAAAATCTACTAAGCTGTGTTTGTGAGTTACCCTTTGTGAAATCATCCTTTTCCCCCCATTACAATTTAAAAAAAGTCAACCCATATCACACAAACTCAGACCAGCACGTTTCCTTGCCTAAGCCCATGTTCACCTGTGAACAGCAGAGCCAAGTTTTAGTTGTATCTCATGTCATTATAAACTTGATGAGATAATATTTTTGTTTTGTTTTGTCTTTTTTTTTCACTTGCACTTTACTATTTAGCCATTCCATGAAGGAAATCAAGAAGTAAATCATTTTGTTTTTTTAATTTTTTTTTTTTTTTTTTGCAGTACGTGGGCCTCTCACTGCTGTGGCCTCTCCCGTTGTGGAGCACGGGCTCTGGACGCGCAGGCTCAGCGGCCATGGCTCACGGGCCCAGCCGCTCCACGGCATGTGGGATCTTCCCAGACCGGGGCATGAATCCGTGTCCCCTGCATCGGCAGGTGGACTATCAACCACTGTGCCACCAGGGAAGCCCTGTTTTTTTAATTTTTAAAAATTTTCTTTTTGGCTGCGTTGGGTCTTCTTTGCTATGCGCGGGCTTTCTCTGGTTGTGGTGAGTGGGAGCTACTCTTCATTGTGGTGCGTGGGCTTCTCATTGTGGTAGCTTCTCTTGTTGCAGAGCACGGGCTCTAGGCACGTGGGTTTCAGTAGTTGCAGCACGCGGGCCCTAGAGCACGCAGGCCTCAGTAGTTGTGGCACTCAGGCTCAGTAGTTGTGGCGCATGGGCTTAGTTGCTCCACGGCATGTGGGATCTTCCTGGACCGGGGCTCGAACCTGTGCCCCCTGTATTGGCAGGCGGATTCTTAACTACTGTGCCACCAGGGAAGTCCCAAGAAGTAAACCCTTTGACGTCAGCTGTCTGCAGTGAGTGGTGGGGTGGGAAGTGCCTGAGCTGGCACTTCTGGGGCTTCTTTGTCAGAATCTTGACCCTATTTATCTACAACTACATGCCTTTTTTTCCAATTAATAATGTGCTTCCTAGAAAACAAATACTCTCTTGATAAAAGTTCGTAATCAGTATTTTATCAGTAGTCATTTTGCGTGTAAAAATGTCATAAAGGCATGGTAATTAAAAATAAATCAGTAAATGATGAAAACATTAATATTTCAGATTCTACAACTTTAAGGGTAAAAACTAGGTAGGTCTCAGTTTTTTAAGTGGGTCTTTTGAGGACACTAAAATCATGGCATCATTCTAACAGGTGCCTGTACTCTGGAATCAGATGGCCTAGATTTGAATCCTGGCTTTGCCACTTTTTAGCTCTGGGTCCTTGGACAAGTTATTTACCCTCTCTGAGCCTCAATTTCCTTATCTTTAAAATGGGAACAATGAGGTAACGTAGCTAATTTATAGGGTTATGTGGATTGAATGAGTAAAGAGCACTTAGTGTAGACATATAGAAAATGTTCAGTAAGTGTTAACTATTGTTGTTAATATTTCTATTTCTTGAGTCCAGCCTGTTCAGTTTGGCTGTCCTTTTTCACCCCAGACAGATTTGGTTCTGCCTATAACCCATGACTTCAGTAGTTTTTCTTCTGTTATGTCTACTTCATCTTCAACCACCATGTTTTAATTCTGAAACTGCTCTAGAAGGAAACTTCCATTTTGGCATGGTGCATTTTTCAGAATCCTGCTTTCTTACAGTTTCTCACTCAGAGGACACTATGATTAGGTCACTTGCTTCTTCGCAGTAATAGAAACCATTGTAAGCTTCTGAGCATATCCTTGCTTTTCAGAACAACTGGAACTGGCTGTCCCTTCTCTTCGGTTCATGCTCAAGGAGCCTCAGGACTCACATGTGTGCGTTCCAACCCTTGACTTCAGAGAACTCTCTCTCAGCTTCTTTCTTATTTTCACTGCTTTCAAGTTTGCATTTCAAACTTGCTTTCTCTGACCACCAACCCTGTATCCGGAGTTGAAAATATAATTTAAAAATTATAACACTTTAGAACTGTATGTTAAGAAGCCAGTGGAATGGTGAAAAGAGCAGACTTTTCTTCTGAGTCATGGTGAATGATTCAGCTTTAAGAAATGCTATTTGTAATCAAGAGTTTGTAAATAAAGCATATGATGAAGTGAAATTGCATCAGGCAGGTAAACTGGATTGTGGGAGCCACGATAATTTAATGCAGGTAGAGGTAAAATAAGACTGAAATTTAAGTTGACAAACTAGATTTTAAAAAGCTAGCTCTGCTGTTCTTTTTAATCTTGCCGAGAAGTGACAGGTTCTGGTTCATTCACACCAGCATCTGGCACCAGCCCCTAAGCCCTGGAGGCAATTATCCTAATCTGTTTCTGCCCTAGTAGCAGCCTCTTTGATCTCACTGAAGCAGTAATATATTCCTTAATAGAAACACAAATGTATCAATTTTCCCTACTCACAGCATAAAAAATGTTCTATTCTTTGAACTTTCACTGATCCTGCCAAGATGTAGGGTCCAAGACAAAATAGGATTCTGCTGATTGCTTGGGCACAGGAGTGACAGAACCTTCAAAGAGTGTAGATATTTCCATCATTTCCCAACAAAGCAAATTGTAGCGTAAAATCGATGCTCCAGGAAAATAGATCATATTAATCCCATGACTTTGGCTTCCCTGGCACACCAGTGAGGTCTGGGGTAGGAGCGAGTTCTTACCAGAGATGGGCAAGATGAGATTACTTGAAATTCTTTGAAATCTGAAATAAGAGAATAATGTGCTTGGGTACAATTGTGGTTGGTGGAAGGAGTGTAAAAGTAACATTTTATTATTTGAACATTTGTTTTGGACTTCTATGTATGCTTGTACATGGAATGGTAACCAGCAACAAGTTGTAAACAAGGCCATTTGAGTTCTGCTTTTGACTCCCACGAGTGTGCTGTCCAACTTTGGGTTAATCAGTTATTTTTTGTGTTATTTTTCAGAAACAGGAAGAAACCTTTGAGCAAGGGTTCTGGTTCAGGGGTTTTCACATGGGCATCTCCATCCCTTGGGGCCCTATAAGCCAAAACACCAGCTGGTATCTGTTGTCTGAATAAATGTGTATCTTTTGTATGTGCCATTATTTTTCAAATGTACACAGATAATAAGTACGATTTTATAAGTACGTAATGGCAGAAATGTACTGAGAATTCAGCAGTGCTTTTAAATATCTTTACATTTTATTAATTCACAGATGCTAAAATCAAAACTGTCATGTGGAGGTTGACATTTTTGGTGTTAAAAGTGGTTTCCTTTGCAGTGAGTTAATGGAGGGTCTTTTAATTCAGAACCTTGGTCTTAGCCAAAGGACTGTGTAGGTACATATTTGCATATAGAAATAAATCATATTTCTTAGAAAAAGTTTTAATACACTCCTTTGATCCTCGTCATTTTATAGTTACCCTCTCTGGGGACACCCAGGTGGTATACTAAGAAGTGCAGCCTTTCTGTCTGCAGAAAGTGGCTGTTCCTGTATCAGATGCCATCTGTCACTTAGGAGGATTGCCGCTAATTCAGACTCCCCCAGGAGGCTGGAGACAGGGACTCCTCCCTTCGCTCAGCCCAGCTGGTGGGTGAGTGTCCTAGTGGCCCACACTCATGCTAGATGGATATTGGCCAAGGTGGTTTCACTAAAATGTGGAATGAAGAAAACATTGCATGATTGGAAACCCTGGAGTAGGAAATTTTAAGCACAAATAGGACATAAAGGACATTCGTGACTGTCCTGGGTTTAAGGCTGCACTCCAGTTTAGGAAGCCTGCAGGAAGCTTTTCTGTGTCCTGGAAATTGGGTTGGGCCCCTCCTGGGAGTTGTGATCTCTGTTATTTTATTAGACTCTTAGCTCCTTCAGGGCAGATGCTGTGGGTTATATACTCTTACTACCCAGGCCCAGCAGAGCAGGCACCAAGTAACACCAGGTTGAGTTTTTTAATCTTTTCATTTTATGCATAAGTTGGATTATTTATAGTTCCCTGGGACTCTAAATTAATGTTGAATTTATTAAAATTGTAAAAAAATTTTTTAAAACTTAGATTTTCTTAAGCCAATTTAATAAATATTCTTGCCCTATTTATAAAGCTAGTCATTTTTATACTAACATAAGAATATTTACTTTCATTATTTGATTAATGGTTTGTTAACCCAAGTTTAACTGATTGAAATCTCCTAAATAATTTACTGTAAATCAGTCTCGTTTACAACTTAGTGAATTTAAAAAAATTAAACATTTAAAATGTGATTTACAAATGTAATTTACCTGATTTTTCCAGCAATTCCAAGCCTTAATAAGGCCCTAGAGAAGCTGATGGGCCAGGTTGCTTTACAAGCCTAGCAACTCTTTGAAATCTAATAAACCAAACTTGGCAATGTGGTAAATCAGCTTCTTTTAAACATTTGAATACTGTGTACAGACTTAGATTTTCTTATTCAAGTGAAAATTGCAAATTTAATATCAATTGCACATTTTAAATACAAGCCACAAAGACCAAGATGTTGGATTCTCTAACTTGCCAAATTATTGTAATTACCTTAATAACAAAGACATACATTATTTTGAAGATTACAGAATTTGTTTGTAATTGAGTTTATTCCTCAGCTTGATGTATGTTATCTCTAATATTTTTTCTCTATCATCCCTGGTAATGAACATACTCAGGACAAAAACGGTTACTGTGTTTGTGATCTAGATTCTGTTATTAACAATCAGAAGTTTGGTCCTGGACCTGCGACTGGGTGCTAAATTGCCCCAGGGGGAGTCTCCCTAATGCTTAGGGGCTGAGCCCTTTCTTAGAGTACAATTCCCAAGCTCATGCCTTCTAACTGGTGTTTAGCTTTAAAATCCAATACATCTTAGGCTCTCTCAGTACCTTTCCAGTTTCATTCTCAACCAGTTTTTATTGTAACCTCTTTCAACATTTAATCACCTGATTCCAGTGGATGAAATTTTGTACCCCACCTAGGTTACAGCTAATTTTCATTACTACGTGAGTGAATTGAATATATTTCTTTATCTCTGATTGAATTCTACATTCCTGTGTATATGTATATTTTCTTATCTGGTGTTTGGTCATGATTCTGTAGTCATTTTGTTGACAAGTGTCAATATACTGGTCAGTGTTGAATGCCTGTCAAATTAACTTTAGTAATAAGGTACAGGAGTACCATTGGCATGTGGAATCCATTATTTAAATCTTCTTTGTCCAAAGCTAGCAATCATTCAGCTGGTTTTCCCTGCTAACACCAGTGGTTCTCAGAACTGGCTGCACATTAGAATCATCCATAGAGCTTTGATATGGCATATGGCTGGGTCCCCACCTCAAACCAGTTGGATACCCTCTGCTGGGCATCATGGTGTTAAAAGTGCACCAGGTGATTCCGATGCACAGAGAGGATTGAAACCCACTGTTGTAACATCTGTTAAACGAAAGATTTCAGATCATTTAAAAAATCTCATTGTCCTTATCCCCTTTTTGTGGAAACACTGATGGAAAATGCACAGAGAAAATGAAAAGGACACCTAAGGTAGAAAGTTTGGCTAATGCACGACTGGACCATTTTCCTGAAAATATCGAATTATTGAGATGTTTTAAGATGTAGGTATTTTTAAATCTTTATGGTGTGTTTTTCTTTTTTATTTGTTTAAAATGCCTGTGTGAGTCACTTACTGGCTCTTCTTAATCTGTTTATTACCCAGACCAGTAAGGCACACTCAAGTGTTTTCTTCCTTGCCCCAGGTTTCTGTTGATGTACTCCACACTTTTGTGCAGCTATTACAATTTGGCCCTGACGACGGCGGTGGTTGGAGCCATCAAGGTAAGTGGTTGAAGCCTTGAAATGCACAATCAAATTGGGGAATTGACTGTTTGATTTTATTGTTGTTATTATCCGTGCTGTAGTAAGAATGGAGGCTTGTGGTATTTTCAGCTGTGCCTGGGTGATCTCTCCTTACGTCTTCTAATCTCCTAATCCACAAAACGGAGGGAAGACTTGCTCATTTAAAAGGAAGAGACAAATTATGACTTAAATTGGGAATGGTGGGAAGGGATGGTCTGGGAAAACCAAGTGAAATAGCTGAAAAAAATTCCTTGTGATATCTATGCTCAATTATAAGGTGATTAACTCTGGGACTAGTGTGTATGCTGCGTGTGTGTACATGCATTTGAACACACACTAACGAATAGGAGGATGGAAGCGTTCTAAATTCTGTTCTGCAGTTGCTTTGTGTTTCTGTTCACGTAAACTCCTACCGTGAGCGACTGCTTCAACAGTGGACTTCTCTGTTGGCTGCCCAAGGGCCTCTGAGAATACACTGGACAGAGTACTGCTTGTAATTTATCAGATGTCTTAAGTTTGTTCAAGTTGAGGACTAATATGATTACGATTCACTACCCAATGATGGTAAAGAGATGAAATCTGGAAAGTTGATTACAACCCAACTCTTACATCTTTTTCCTGTGTATTAACTGGAAGAGGGTATGGATAATGCAGTTTCTGTGACTATGGTGCTGTAGTTTATTTCATTTTCTTTATAAAGCCATATGTAATGGTTTTTATCCACTTATTCAATATTCCATGAACCCCTGCTATATGTGAGTCTCTTTGAAAAGTAACTAAAATATTTAGTTTCAGGTTTCACTATATATATGTTTTCCCCCTAAAGTCTTTACTTTTAAAATCATTAATCCTCTCTTTTTCTGCAGAATGTATCTGTTGCCTACATTGGAATGTTAGTAGGCGGAGACTACATTTTCTCTGTATTAAACTTTGTAGGGTTAAATATTTGGTAAGTGGGATTTTTAAATGAACTCATTTTAGTAAAATATGTATTTTTAAAAGCCTGATTAATATGTTATAAGTGAAAGAGCAGGAGGTGTTTTGACTTTACAATTTCTAGGATAAAATTTACTTAAATCGTTCAGTTCATCTCTTTTTATGACATACTCTTTCATGTGGACCATGGGGACATGTAATGAAAATTCAAAGGGTTGAGATCTAATTTTCTGTTTCCTCCTCTCAGAAAAGCCCTTAAGTTGTGTGTCTTCCTTTTGTGAATGGGCCTCACTAAATCTGTGCTCCATTGAAGTGCCATGTGCTAAGGATATTGGGAGGAGTGACTAAGAAACTTTTGAAAGGCATTTTGGGGTCTCAGAGGTGGGACACTATTTTAGGATAATACTGTATAGTTTATTCAAGTAATAACCAAGTGCTTATTTTTTTCTCCAAGTTTCTCTGTTAGACTTGATCTGCTCTTTTTCTGCCCCCACAGATTTGTAAATAAGAGGGTTAATTCTCATCGATTAATACACAAATTTGAGGAAGTAAAACAGGGGGCTCAATAATTCCCTTCAAATTAAGCTGTCTGCATTGTAAATCACCTATACTTCAATAAAATAAAGAAAAAGAAACAAACAGCCAAGTTATCAAAAAAATTAAGTTGACTGTATTTGTAAAGATGTCAGTAACTGTTGGTTGTACCATCTATGGAATTTATTTTCACTCTTTTTTATTCTCCTTTCAGCATGGCAGGGGGCTTGAGATATTCCTTTTTAACTTTAAACAGCCAGTTAAAACCTAAACAACCTGTGGACGAAGAAAACATCCCTCAAGATTTGAAGGGCTAGAACCTGGGGCAGAATTGCAGACTGGCTTGCAGACTGGGGGGAATGAGGGAATATTCCCAGCTGTTTTGGTTGTGGCACTCACCCCTGGTTAAGGCACAACAGGAATGTCTGCAAAATGCAGAGAGAATCTACATCATGTGCTGCATGAGGAGCCGTCATCAGCCCTGAGAAATGTATCCGGGCAGAGCCTTACCAGCTGAAAGTGAATCTTCTCAAAATAAACCACTGGTGAAAGGGATTGTTTCCAAGGCACTTGCGTGGACCACACATCTGTGTGCTGTTCCAGGTACTGCGAGTGCTTCAAAGGAGGCCGATGCTGTGAGGGTGCTTATCAGCACCTTGGCCTTAATTTCAAAGGTCCCAGCCAAAGCAGAGTGCCAGCGGCAACATTTTTTTTGGTTTAAACAGACATGTCTTTATTTTAATAAAATCAGCCACTTAACTGCCAGTAGAGTTATTTGCTAGCTTTGATTTGATCTTATATGTTGGTATCTTTTCCCAATCATCAAAGTAAAATAAAAAATAATTTATATGCATACCTCATACTGTGATATTATTGTAGACAGGCAGAAAAACAGTAGGTCATTTATTCAGTCTGCCTTGAAGGGTAATATTCCTTTTAAGGCTCATGTTGGGAAAAATTACAAAATAACTCAATGGAAAAAACAGTACTCAGTGTGCCCTGTCAACATTTAAGTTGGTCATATTTCTCTCCTCCTTCCAGGTTTGTTCAGGGGCTTTGAAATTCAGATCATATGGACTTTAACCAAGGTACATTTTTTTCCTGGGCTTGCCTGACCCCCCAGACCAGTGGTGTGTGGGAAGGAACCCCGGTTTGGATGAGAGTTATTATCATCTCCATCAAGAAATGGACTGTCCCCGTCGGGGTCGTGGTGCAGGCTAGGGCCCCAGTCTGGAGGGGGCCAGTCAGGAGCTCTTCTTTCTAGTCTTGTCTTCACTGCTAACATACCAAGACCTTCACAGGTCACCTTGCCACTGTCGCCTCCATTTTTTAATCTTTAAAATGGAACTATGTCTCCAAATCCCTGCCAGCTCTGACTTTCTAAGTTTATAGAAGCTGAGCCAGATGGACAGGGCAGCAGATGAAGGAATGATTCTGTTGACATGTTTCAGTTTACTTTAAAATTAAAAAAATTTTAATTGTAAAATACACATAACATAAAATTTACCATCTTAACCATTTCTAAATGTACACTTCAGTAGTGTTAAGTATATGCACACTGTTGTGTAGCCAATCTCTGGAACTTTTTCATGTTGCAAAACTGAAACTCTATACCCATTAAACAATAATTCCCCATTCCTCCCTTTCCCCAGCTCCTGGCAACCACCATTCTACTTTCTTTCTCTATGAATGTGACTACTGTAGGTACCTCATAAAAGTAGAATCACACAATATTTATCTTTCAGTAGCTGGCTTATTTCGCTTAGGATAATATCATCAAGTTTCATCCATGTTGCAGCATGTGTCCGAATTTCTTTCCTTTTTAAGACTAAATAATATTCCATCACATGGATATACCGTGTTTTGTTTATCCATTTGTCTGTCAGTGGACACTTGGATTGCTTCTACCTCTTGGCTGTTTGTGTATAATCCTGTTATGAACATGGGTGCACAAATATGTCTTTGAGACCCTGCTTTCAGTTCTTTCAGATAGTAAAAGGAAACTTGTTTCCTCTATACACAGAGCACTTCTGATGCCAGATGTGTGGGATCTTTCCCTCACATTAAGCAATTCTCCAACTCTCTGGACACCAACTAGGGGTCCTACAATTAAATGCAGACTCTAAGTACCTGGAGTTAGCACAGACCCCACAGGTTAAGGGCTTAGTTCCCCAAGACTGCCCCCTACTTCAGATGCCAAACCCAAGTCCCAGGTTGTGACTGGTGCTTCTGACCAACTAACCATCAATCTGGGGTCTCCACACCCCCTTCCTCAGGTTTAATAATTTGCTAGAATGGCTCACAGAACTCAGGGAAGTGCTTTACTCTCTATTGCCAGTTTATTATAAAGCATACAACTCAGGAACAGTCAAAGGGAAGAAGTGCACAGGACAAGGTATGTGGGAAATGGTTTGGAGCTTTCACGACTCCTCCAGGTGTGCCCTGCTCCCAGCACATCAGTGTGTTCATCAACTGGAAGCTCTCCAAACCCCATCGTTTGATTTTCACGGTAACACATGGACCACAGCTGCACCATTTTATATTCCCACCAACAGTGCACGGGGATTCCATTTTCTCCACATCCTCACCACTTGTTTCCTTTTTTTTTTTTTTTTTGGTAGTAGTAATAGTAGGTGTGCTAATGGGTGTGAAGTGATATCTCATTGTAGTTTTTTAAATTTTTTTTTGCGGTATGCGGGCCTCTCACTGTTGTGGCCTCTCCCGTTGCAGAGCACAGGCTCCAGACACGCAGGCTCAGCGGCCATGGCTCACGGGCCCAGCCGCTCCGCGGCATGTGGGATCCTCCCAGACCGGGGCACGAACCCTTGTCCCCTGCATCGGCAGGCGGACTCTCAACCACTGCGACACCAGGGAAGCCCGCTCATTGTAGTTTTGATTTACATTTCACTGATGGTTAGTGATGTTGAGTATCTTCTCATGTGCTTGTTGGCCATTTGTACATATTCTTTGGAGAAATGTCTATTCAAATCCTTTGCCCATTTTTGAATTGGGTTGTTTGTTCTTGTCGAGTTGTAGGAGTTCTTTATTTTTTCAGTTTATTTTTAAATTGGGGTATAATTGCTTTACAATGTTGTGTTAGTTTCTGTTGTACAGCAAAGTAAATCAGCTATATGTATACATATATCCCCTCTTTTTTGGATTTCCTTCCCATTAGGTCACCACAGAGCACTGAGTAGATTTCCCTGTGCTATACAGCAAGTTCTCATTAGTTATCTACTTTATACATAGTAGTGTATATATGTCAATCCCAATCTCCCAATTCATCCCACTCCTCCTTTCCCCCCTTGGTGTCTATACGTTTGTTCTCTACGTCTGTGTCTCTATTTCTGCTTTGCTGATATGTTCATCTGTATCATTTTTCTAGATTCCACATATATGCCTTAATATACAATGTTTGTTTTTTCTTTCTGACTTATTTCACTCTGTATGACAGTCTCTAGGTCCATACACATCTCTACAAATGACCCAATTTCATTCCTTTTTTTTTTTTTTTTTTTCAATACACGGGCCTCTCACTGTTGTGGCCTCTCCCATTGCAGAGCACAGGCTCCGGACACGCAGGCTCAGCGGCCATGGCTCACGGGCCCAGCTGCTCCGCGGCATGTGGGATCTTCCCACACTGGGGCATGAACCCATTTCCCCTGCATCGGCAGGCAGACTCCCAACCACTGCGCCACCAGGGAAGCCCAATTTCATTCCTTTTTATGGCTGAGTAATATTCCATTGTATATATGTACCATATCTTCTTTATCCATTCATCTGTCGATGGATATTTCAGTTGCTTCCAAGTCCTGGCAGTTGTAAATAGTGCTCCAGTGAACATTGGGGTGCATGTGTCTTCTTGAATTATGGTTTTCTTAGGGTATATGCCCAGTAAGGGGATTGCTGGGTCATATGGTAGTTCTATTTTTAGTTTTTTAAGGAACCTCCATACTGTTCTCCATACTGGCTGTATCAATTTACATTCCCACCAACAGTGCAAGAGGGTTCCCTTTTCTCCACACCCTCTCCAGCATTTATTGTTTGTAGATTTTTTGATGATGGCCACTCTGACTGGTATGAGGAGATACCTCATTGTAGTTTTGATTTGCATCTCTCTAATAATTAGTGATGTTGAGCATCTTTTCATGTGCCTCTTGGCCAACTGTGTGTCTTCTTTGGTGAAATGTCTATTTAGGTCTTGCGCCCATTTTTTGATTGGGTTGTTTGTTTTTTTGATATTGAGCTGCATGAGCTGTTTGTATATTCTGGAGATTAATCCCTTGTCAGTTGCTTCATTTGCAAATATTTTCTCCCATTCTGAGTATTGTCTTTTCCTCTTGTTTGGTTTCCTTTGCTGTGCAAAAGCTTTTCAGTTTCATTAGGTCCCATTTGTTTATTTTTGTTTTTATTTTCATTACTTCAGGAGGTGGGTCAAAAAAGATCTTGCTGTGATTTATGTCATTGAGTGTTCTTCCTGTGTTTTCCTCTAAGAGTTTTATATAGTGTCCGGTCTTACATTTAGGTCTTTAATCCATTTTGAGTTTATTTTTGTGTATGGTGTTAGGTAGTGTTCTAATTTCATTCTTTTACATGTAGCTATCCAGTTTTCCCAGCACCACTTATTGAAGAGGCTGTCTTTTTTCCATTGTATTTTCTTGCCTCCTTTGTCATAGATTAGGTGACCATAGGTACGTGGGTTTATCTCTGGGCTTTCTATCCTGTTCCATTGATCTATACTTCTTGTGCCAGTACCATACTGTCTTTCTTTTCTTTTCTTTTCTTTTTTTAATAAATTTATTTATTTATTTATTTTTGGCTGAATTGGGTCTTTGTTTCTGCACATGGGCTTTCTCTAGTTGCAGCAAGTGGGGTTACTCTTTGTTGTGGTGCACGGGCTTCTCATTGCAGTGGCTTCTCTTGTTGTGGAGCATGGGCTCTAGGCACATGGGCTTCAGTAGTTGTGACCACTCGGGCTCAGTAGTTGTGGTGCACATGTTCCGTGGCATGTGGGATCTTCCCAGACCAGGGATCACCCGTGTCCCCTGCATTGGCAGGAAGATTCTCAACCACTGCGCCACCAGGGAAGTCGCTACCACTGTAGGGATTTTGATCACTGTAGCTTTTTAGTATAGTCTGAAGTCAGAGAGCCTGATATTCCTCCAGCTCTGTTTTTCTTTCTCAAGGTAGCTTTGACTATTTGGGATCTTTTGTGTTTCCATACAAATCGTAAAATTTTTTGTTCTAATTCTGTGAAAAATGCCATTGGTAATTTGATAGGGATTGCATTGAATCTGTAGATTGCTTTGGGTAGGCTACTCATTTTCACAATATTGATACTTCCAATCCAAGAACATGATATATCTCTCCATCTGTTTGTGTCATCTTTGATTTCTTTCATCAGTATTTTGTAGTTTTCTGAGTACAGGTCTTTTGCTTCCTTAGGTAGCTTTATTCTTAGGTATTTTATTCTTTTTGTTGCAATGGTAAATGGAATTGTGTCCTTAGTTTCTCTTTCTGATCTTTTGTTGTTAGTGTATAGGAATGCAAGAGATTTCTGTGCATTAATTTTGTATCCTGCAGCTTTACCGAGTTCATTGATTAGCTCTAGTAGTTTTCTGGTAGCAACTTTAGGATTTTCTATGTATAGTATCATGTCATCTGCGAAGAGTGACAGTTTTGCTTCTTTTCCAATTTGGATTCCTTTTATTTATTTTTCTTCTCTGATTGCCATGGCTAGGACTTCCAAAACTATGTTGAATAATATTGGCGAGAGTGGACATCCTTGTGTTGTTCCTGATCTTAGTGGAAATGCTTTCAGGTTTTCACCATTGAGAATGATGTTTGCTGTGG